AAAGTTAGGACTCGGGCTAGGAGACCACTAAAATTTTTTAAACATATTTAATCATTAATTCAATAACAGATAGCAAAAAAAAAGAAGTTTATGTATGTGTGTGTATATACAGACATACACATATATACATACCCACATATTTACATATACAAATAAATAAATATACACACATATACATATGTACACACTGCTATGAATGTTATCGTACCTAACGGCATCATGTAGCCCTTATTGGACGTGTAAATTGTCCATTTGCACATGGAGTAAACACGAAAAGATTATCAAAACAACAAAAATATTATTATTATTTTTATTATTTTGCTTGTTTTTAGTGAAAGATCATCTAGGAATCCAGCTTTTTTTCATTGATACTCAATTGCTTTTTTTTTTTTCCCCCTTTTCAGTTCTTTGCTGATTCAGGGTTTGATTGTCCAAGTAGAAGGAATCCATCTGATCATTTTCTTCGTTGTACAAATTCAGACTTTGACGATGTCAATGCTAGACTGATGGGTTCTCGTCGTATAAGTGTACGTAAATGGTAGCGACTTTACTCCCGTTATTTTCTGCTATCCAATTTTCCCATGAATACTACCATTAACAATTGTACAAGTTAAAAAGAATTGTATTATCCACTCTCCTTATACCCTTTTTTTTCCAGGAAAATTACAAGCCAAGTGGTCTTTTATTGGATATGGCAACAACAGAGATCAAGGAAAAGCTCATCCAGAAATACAAATGCTCAAAGTATGCAGCAATAGTGAAATCTAGAGTTCAAGAAATTTTAATTATTGTAAGCTTTCACATTCACTAAAACCTCCAAAGTACTGTTTTTTCCTTTTCTTTTTTTGGGGTCCCAATTGCCCAAATGGTCCATCTTAATTTGATTTAACGTGTTCAAATGATAAATCAATCCAAGAGGAAACTCTAGTTCATTGATTAGGCCAAATTTAAGTTCTCAGTAAATAGTATTGGATATTGCAAATGATGGAATGGAATTGCGACTGATACAGGTATCACAGGAAGGCCTAGAGATTGAAAAAAGGGGAGGAAGCCAGGCCGGATGGATCAAGCAATTTTCAACGTTAACAAGAAGATCATTCATAAACATGTCTAGGGATTTTGGTTATTATTGGTTAAGAATAATAGTATACATAGTGGTATCAATTTGTGTTGGTACTGTTTTTCTTAATGTTGGCACAAACTATTCTGCAATCTTGGCAAGAGGGGCTTGTGGTGGATTCATATCAGGTTTCATGACATTCATGTCCATAGGAGGCTTCCCATGCTTCATTGAAGAAATGAAGGTAAATGATCTCATTAGTTGAATTAATTATGATAAAATCATGCTAAATTTAAACATTTTCTTTTCCTCCCACTAACACATTGGTAACAATTTACAGCATTGGTTCTGATTTTTACTTGTGAAGAAATTGGAACATTGAGATTTTCCTTTCATTTCAAAACCTTTTGAAGTATATAACCCTTACTTTAAAACAAGGATTAATTACATTTAAGTAGCGCTTACCCTAATTTTTGTTTCTTCACCTCAATTAGCATGTATTAGCTTTTTTACAGGAAAAAGTCTTGTGTTTCACTTTAGCAAATATGTTAAATATAGGAAAAGTTAAATTGATTAGCAGATTAACAAACAAACTGCTTAAGATTTGCCATTTGATGTTTGAAGCAGATATTTTACAAAGAAAGACTCAATGGGCACTATGGAGTTGGAGTGTTTATTCTTGCAAACTTCATCTCTTCACTACCATTCTTGACAACAATGGCTTTCAGTTCATCAGCCATCACCTACTTCACGGCGAAATTCCGGTCCGGCTTCTTCCGTTTTCTGTATGCAGCCATAGACCTACTGCTCTCCATTTCTGTTGTAGAGGGCTGCATGATGGTTGTGGCTTCTCTGGTTCCAAATTTCTTGATGGGACTCATTGTTGGGGCAGGATTTATTGTAAGAACACTAACTTGTTCATGATCAAACATCAGAAACTTTTCACCATGGTTTCTCTCAACCCCCTTTCTAATCTTTTCTCGTGTTAATTGCAGGGAATTATGATGGCTACGGCTGGCTTTTTCTGCCCTCTGACTGAACTTCCAAAGCCTTTCTGGCGCTACCCAATGTCCTATATCAACTATATGGCATGGGGTCTACAGGTAACAAGTTTTGGAATTACACTCTGGAAGTTTGTCACAGTAATATGTTTTCTACTTTAAAACAAGACTAAAATGTAAATCTTACCCAGTGGAAAATGCTTCTAGTGTATAAAATCGCCATGTGCCAAATAGTACTTGTTCTTATACAAGTAGTACCCATTCAATACATATTAGAAGTAGCTTTTGTTGACAAGGCACTAGTTTGAGTGAGAATAGGCATTACTTGGCACATGCAGATTTCTCTTAGTTATTGCAGTTTAATTAAGTGATGATATTAGCAATCCATTTATTGTTACTGGCACTCCATTCCCTTTCCAAATTATTTTTTTTTAAGAGAACATATGAAGCAAGTCAAATGCCATTAACAATAAATGGAGCATAGATATGGCTAACCCTGTTTTTACTTTTTGTAAGTGTAATTCATGGATATTCCAAAACCAGAAAGAAGATGAGAGCACATTTATCCCCATGTTTACTACTGGATAGATTTATATGTAGTAAATGGTTCACTACTCTAAAGAAAGAAAACAGAAAACACACCTTTCATTAGGTTAAAGCTAATCAAATCCAAGAAGTCATGCAGCCGCAAATCTTGTTGATATAATATTTGTTTGGTGGATATAACAGGGAGCTTACAAGAATGACATGATTGGGCTTGAATTTGAACCTCTTCAGCCAGGAGAGCCAAAATTAAAGGGAGAATTCATCATCACAAAAATTCTTGGCTTTTCACTAGATCATTCAAAGTGGTGGGATTTGGCTGTTGTTCTAGCCATATCCATATCATACAGGATGCTGTTCTACATCATTCTCAAGTTGAGGGAGAAAGCTTTACCCATGATCAAAACAATTTATGTGGAAAAAACTCTGCAACATCTCAGCAAGAGGCCTTCATTCAGGAAGACACCACCATTACCTTTTCCATCAAAGAGACACCAAACCATCCATTCATTATCTTCTCAAGAAGGTCTTAGTTCTCCAATTAATTGAAACCAGAAGCTTTGACTATATCTTGTCCTACGATATGATTAAAAAATCACACAAACTTCACTCCAACTGACATTCTTTTTGTCTTCCAGTTGGATAGGTAACATGAAAGAAGTATATGCTTATACACCATTTGAGATAAAAAATTTTATGCACCATTTAAGGTGTTACAAACTACTAAAGTATGTGAAGTTTTCAGCATATTCTTGTCCATGCATGTTCAAAGTTTACTAATATTCTTGTATTGTTGGTCACATATCCTGTCCTCCATCCCAAATTTTTCATCACTCTTCTATAATCCAACTTGTCAGAAATAGCAAATTAATTAGATGTCAGTGTTTTTCTTTCCAATCGTGCCCAGGGGAGTATCCAGAAGAGTTAAGGTCAAAGTTAACTTTGACTTCTTTAAGATGATGAAATTTGGACAACTGAAATGGACAAGCAGGGAACTTTCAATGGGATGGAGGGCTATCAATTGATATCGATTTAGTTTTAATTCCGAAAAAGGGCATTAGGTAAAGGACTTCTTCTTGCTTTTTTATTTAGTTGACTTTTGAGGAACCTAATTTAAGAAGTAATCACTGTCCCAATCTTAAATTTTTTGACAATCGCTTTTTAAGATAATAGTTTGCCTGCTCAAATGAAGTTAAAAACAGAGGTGAAAATCAGCTTCAAAAAGTGCATTTATAGGCAGATGACCATCAACCCCAATGCTAAGTAAATTCTTGTATTGTAGATGCAATCAACGACAAGTTAAATTACAGTTTCTGACCCACAAACGTATCAAGCAGTGAAGTAGATGAGTAAGGAGTAATTTAAAAATTGTTGGTTGGTCAAGCTGGAAAGTTCAGTGTCCAGATTATTTGACCAATGCGTACAAGAAGAAGAATGCCAACCACATTGCGATTCAATAGAATCACATTTTATGGCCCAATTTTAGACAAAATTCTATCGTTAGTCTTAAAATGATTTCAATAGTATCACATTTGATGACCCAACCTTCATTGGCACCTTCTAAGCAATACAATCAATATTGGTGTTCCTTAAAAGCATCCAATCTCAAAATCACCTAAATGTTTTACTATTCTAGAACCTTGTTTGGAACCCAAGTTTTTTGCCAAGTTTGTCTGCTACAAGTTTTTTAAAAACTTTAGTTACAGTAATCTCAAAAAATTTCTAAAAATTTTTAAACTATACACTTCAAAATATTCAAAAATCTACACATTTCAAAATTTTTTTAAAAAACTTCTACAGTAAGCTACAGTAAAGTTTTAGACAAACTCCCAAAAAACTCATCTTCCAAACAGTAGACCATACAACTCAGCAATTGTTAAGTTGTCAAATCAAATCATTTATATTACTTGGTCAATCAACAGTTGTTCTCAATTGAGATGAAACTTGGTATGTTGTTCGGCCAGTGAAGATGTTTATATGTTTCAAAGGTCACTTCTGAAGCTTGGGTATATGCCAATTTTGAACTGTCAACCCTATACTACAAAGTGAATTCATTCCATTTTTCCTTTTGCACTGAACACCTTACAGTATCAGCCGCACAAACCTTGGTTAACAGGATACAAACTTGTCAGTTTTTCCAGTTTTGAGAACAATGCTATTTCCAGCTGAAACTGTGGCAATTTCCATGACAGGTCGCATACACTGATCTCTAGCTACCACAACTAGGCCGTCGCAATTTTTCAGGCTTGCAAACATACAACCCCCAAATCACTGGGAGAGGAGTCCTATGATAACTTGATGTCTATGAAGCTACATGTCTAAGACTATGAAGTTCAAATTGACATGTGATGGCATTCATAATAGTTTGACGTGGAAGGTATAGCCCAACAAATCAATAAAAAAAAAAACATATTTTCAGGCATTTCTACTCCACCCCTCTCTCTGCCACAACCAAGCAAGGCATAAACCCTAAGCTGAATTATTGAACCAGCATTTACACAAACAACAATAGTCAAGGACAGAGGACATGGAATCATTTCAGACATACTCATAATTCGAGAATCATAGACTACATTTAACAATGAAGCCACATATCTTTCTAAAGATTCTCATTACAAATATAGAAAATATCTGACATCAATGCATACCTCAAGCTTAATTGACTATTTCAGCAGCTTCCACAATTTTAGTACCTTGCTCTTTTATCACTTTAAAGCATGGGACACATTCTGCATGGACCCCAAGCACTACCTGTCATCAGAAAGGAAGTCTGTATTACATAAAATCCAACCAGAGAAATTAACCCCAAACCACTCTCATCTTGAATGAAGAACACAAAACCAAGCTAGTAGAATTGTTGCTCCTACTTCTCTTCACTCTTCCTTTTCTCCCTCTCTTTGACTCATAAACCAACAAATCTGCTCATTATTGACATGACACAAAAATTAATATCGCATTCACATCAGCATTAAAAAATAATAAAAAGACAAATTTAAAAAATTCTTTATAAAATAGTATCATATTAGCAAGAGAAACCGCATAGAAGGACAAAAAACTCTCCTCAGAAAACAAAGAACAACCAAGAGATTCCTAATGATCTAAAATGATCTTCCTCAATCTTCGCCAAAAATGAAAGAAATTAACATCTGAAAGCCATCCAGACGAGCTATAGAGTTTAACAACAGGAAATTCAGGAAATTGATTAATACTCATTGCTGTTATTTTATTAAAGAATAATTATATGAATGATCTCAAGAAGTCAAGTTGGCAGCACACCACCAGTCTTAAAAGAGAGATTTACCCATCATCAAGTTACAAGACCTTCAATCTTAAACCATCTTTCACTTCCGCATATTTTAGTCAGAATTCAATAAGATTTTATAGCTAATTTTTCTTTGCTGGACAGACCATTTTCAACTCTGACATCAAGGCTATGGATCTTCGATCACAGGTCTTGGCACTATGCGTCCGCCAAAGTCCTCTGGAAAAGTTCAAAATCAAGTCCAAATTTAAACTTGACACAGCAATTAGGTTAGTTTGGAAGAGCATACACTGAAGCAGCTGGGAAACAATGACAGTCATAAAAATCCTTTAAGGCGGTGCCTTGACATACTGCATTCTTGAAGAAAGATATCTCGCTTCCTGCAGGGCAGAATTAACATCTAATACATCATCTATGGCATTAATCATTATTCTCAGTATTGTATGGAAGAAACTAACAAAAAGTTTAAATAACTAAAGAAACTAGTATAAAATTCACAAGCCTGAAGAGCAATTGTGCATCAAGAGAAACACCTTACACATACAGGCAAATCAGAATGCTACTCCTTTTCAAATGCAAAAACACCAAGTACAAATTTCGAACTCAATCAAAACATTTCCCTCATATTCAACATTTAATTATATACCTCATACTCTGGTCTTTAACCAGTATTTTACTTGTTTTAGAGAAACTAGTAAAAAGGAACACTGTAGAGAGATAACTTCTTTCCCCCTAAACAATTAATAAACAAATGGAAATGCATTAATGAGAAGAAAACCCACAACTATAGATAAAATTACTAAATGTTATCTCTTTCTTGTCAGAAATTGAAAGAGCAATATACATGGGGTGGCTTATGGTCCACAAGTAAACATCACTGCAAGAAAAACATTGATCAGCAATAAACCCCATTCAAGAAATTGCAAAATAAAAGAACAAACAGAAGATAATTGAATCCCTGAGAATCATATATGACATAAAAGCGTATAACATGGATTCAAAATCTCTAACTAGCTCAGCCACAGAGAGAGAGAGAGAGAGAGAGAGAGAGAGAGAGAGAGAGTGCACTTTTAGGACCCTCTATTGTTAGTGGGAGGTCCACAGCTTAAAATATGAGTAAAATTCAAATCGTTCTGTTTACTTATTCATTATGACAAAAAGCCCTTCAGGGACATAGCAGCAGAGTGATTTCTAATATACACCTGTAGCTGTACAAGCAAGTCCTATTTGTTACAGACGTGTCTATGAGTTGTTAGGTGTATGCCTGAATCACACCACTGCTATCTGATATTTGGAGCTTCTCGTCTAACAAGGTCTTGTACTGATCATCTCTAGCATCTAAATTGCGCATCAATTCAGCCTGCAGGAAGAACAAAGAACATTATCAGTAACTATTGATATCATGAAATCAACTAGCTGCAGCAGAGAACAAAGTTAATTCACCATGACCTCTTCAGATGAAAATAGATGTTACTTAAACCTAATTAAACATAATCCAGCTAGGTGCAGAATGGTGCACCCAAATACTAGAAATGTTTACAAGATGCTCCCACATCAAAAGAATCCTGGTCATTCATCCTCTCTGTACACAGTTTTTTTTTTTTTTTTAACAAACATGACTTATGATTGATACATAAGCAAAGTGGAAAAGCAATTATATTTTATGGCCCCAAGCAAGATTGACAAGTACACGTGGTAGCATTCGGTGTCATGGAGCATAGCAAAACAATAAATGCACCAGCAACGCCCATGAAGAAAAGTAGTTTTCGTCTTGGTACCATCATTACCCTAAAGCAAATTTTTGCAACATGTACCTGCTTCTGAAATAAATCAAACTCATCAGAGCTCAAAGAACCATCACTATTTGAATCAAGAAGTTCCATCATCTCCCGAGCATCTTCTCCTTCAGCACCTAGCTCTTCCATTACTTCCATAAGTTCTTCAATGCTGATTTTACCATCACCATCCTTGTCAAGAAGACAAAAAACTCGATCTCTACGGTCAATCTCAAGACACCTAGTATTAGCAGACGGGAGGTCTTGCAGGCGCATTGCTGCAAATTCAGCTGCAGCTATCATGATCGCCTTGAGACGCTTTGCCTGAAGGATCACGAAGCAAAATATAAGAATATCTTAGATGTGACTGCCAATTAATTGGCTAGAAAAAAGTAATATTCAGAAGAAGTAGAACAAATGTCGTTCAATCTTCTGCAGAGGCTCTAACCCGCAGAACTGCTAGCACAAAAGAGGTGGGATAGGTCAAAGTTGGAGTCGCTTTTCTTTTATTTAAACAAGTCACAATGAAAAGGCTGGAGCATTTGAAGTAAAACCAACAGCACAACCGTTACATAAGCAGGGATTCAACGGAGATTACATAAGCAGGGATTCAACGGAGATAGCTTTAAAGTGCTGCATGCAGAATGGCATTAGTACCACTAATGTGTGGCTAAATAATTGACTTAACAGCCTAAGGAGTCTTTCTTGTTTCCATAACTATTTTGAGAAGATACGTGCTGGTTAGACATTTTATACAGAGGAAGTAAGATCAGCTCTACATCTTTTACAATAGATCAGACAGCTTACCTCTTCAGGATCAGTAAGGCCACTCTTATACAGTGCATGGGAAGCCGTACCATCAGCTGCCAACATGTCCATCTCTGCTGTCCGTATCTGTATTTCCATCATCGGTCTATGCCTGCCATTATCACTGATATCAACAACCATGTGCAAGCTCCTGTACCCATTTGCCTTTGGCCTGGCGATGTAGTCTCTTGACCGACTAGGAATCTCCTTCCATAAAGACCGAATTATTTCACGAGTTCTGTAGCATGCCTTTTCTCCAAGTTGTGATGAATTAACTTGGGAAGGACTTAAGATTACTCTCAGTCCTAAGATGTCGTACACCTCTTCAGGCTTGCGTCCATCTCTCAAAAGCTTCTTCATGGTGCTATAACGACTTTTGGAACGAGCTTTGACAGAGATATCATCAACAATTTCTGTTAATATTGGATCCGACCTCAGGGACTGAAGCAGCTGCTCCTGGTAGATGTCTAACAGATGCTCGCTTCCACTGGTCTGGTGGCTCCCCAACCATGCGTCCACATAGACGTAAGAATAAGGAAACAAGTAGCGGAAGGAAAGATCTTCCAGCTCCAGAGACAAAATGTTGGTGGACAAGGCATGAGCTAAAGGGGCATGTATCTTCATGACCTCGAGAGAAATTAATTGCTGCTGGTACCTGGGAAGGTAATTGAGATGGCGCATGGAATCAAGCTTGAGAGCAAGGTCAAGTATTAAGGCCCTGGAGTCATAGCAAGTGAGACAATATTTCCTTAAAGCAGCAGCAGAATCATCATCTAGGATTTGGACTTTCGAATAAATGTTGTTGAGGCGTAAGCTCTCGTGAAGCAAATGAGCAGTACTGGTACCAATGCGATCCTTGACTTGAAAGAAGGACATGGCACCTGCCTCTAGAACTTGTCTCAATATACCAGCAGAGATAACTTCAGCATCCATCTGTTAGGGATTGCAGAAAGGGGAGAAAAAACTGGTTACAAAGGTTTCAAGGCCCTGGAGTCATAGTAATCCTTTTGGTCACAGGAAACAACAATGACATTCAGGTGTTTTATTGTCGTTTAACCTTTTAAATGGAACTGGAAGTATCAAAAGGAAAAAGGATGGAGCTTTATATAGCAGTATTATAACCTTCGTTTTGCAAGGTCAGTCCATCAATCTCTTCTGAAACAAATAACAGTAATAATACTAGTGTACTGGATACAATTATTCCCATGAATATTATATTAATCTCTAGTTTCTTGAGCCAAAAAAAAAATTTGCACCTTTTATCTGCCTTCCAATGTTTACTAGTAGAGTTTGACAAAAACAACTTCAATGAAATACCACATTGTCTAGTCTTGTTCCTCTCACCCCAGCTTTGAGCTACTCCATTTGAAAGCTTCCCCTCTCTCCAACATCTATCTCTTTAAATACAGTCAAAAGCCACCTTCTACAAACCCACAGACCATTTCACGCCATTTAACCATTGAAGACCCATACACAAAAAGACAGACGGGAACAAGCACACTGGTCAACAACTGTCTCCATTTACATAATCTATAATATGATGAATGAATCATAAAAAAGATTAAACTATGAGTCCTGCAAGCAGGATTTCCACAATATGCTTCAAGAATAGTTAAGTATTAATTTTAAAAAAACCCAGAAATAGTAGCGAATAATAGGGGGAATAGCAAGTGATTGGAAGGGAGAGGGAACCTGAAGATCGGCGAGAATGAAGGCGACAGAGAGGGCTTTGGAGAGAGGAGGGCGGTGGCCAGGAGGGGTCGGAGGGAGGGCCTGGAGAATAGGAATTGAAAGCTTGAGAGTCTTGAAGAGCAAGCGAGAGGAGCTGGTGGAGAGATTACTACTGCAATTGCTATTGCCATTGCTGCTGCTGCTGCTGCTGTTGCTGTTGCTGGGCTTCATCATCGTCATCCGGTGAGTCAACTGATTAAATGCCCCCACCAATTCAGCCACCATCTTCCCTCCTGGCTGTTCCGGAGTGCCCACAACCCGGACTGGCACCGGAACTCCCCCTCCTTCCTCCACCGGAACTCCTCCTCCTGCTCCTGCTCCTTCAGTCCTAGCAGCTCGGCCCCGAGAATCAAATGAAACCCGTACAATAACATAATTTGGAGCTGCTCTTGTCCCTGTTGTTGTCGGGAGAAGAGGGATTGATTTCGATTTCGATTTTGTTTCCAGTAGGCAGGCGTAGTGGGGGATAGAGCGGTGACAAGTGACCCCAACCTGCATTTTTATTGGACTCTGCCACTCCACAGCTATTGCAATTCTTCCAGCATTTTGGGCAGTAGTAAGAGATTTGTGCCCGCCCAACATTCGTTAGGCTAATAATACGTATTGTGAAATGAAAGGGGAATAAATATTAGGAAAATGTTATGCGCACTTCTATTTTTGTTAATCATACTCTGACTATTATTTTAATTATATAATTTTTATTTATTAAATTATATGATAAAACAAATGATGAGAGTGTAAATAATAAATAATTGAGTGCCCTAATATTAAGTGATTAAATGGAAGGATGCGAAATAGTATATTTTGTCAAGTGGAAGGAGTAAAAAATAGTTATATAGTCACTATTATCGTCTATGTTTTGAAAGTCGGACCACACAATAAGTCGGTTAAGGTTAGGAGTGACGAGTGAATAGTATCGATCAGAATCAGATTCATCTAAAAAATCAAATGACATCATCATGATATCATATTTATATTTGAATAAATAACACATAAAAAAAGTTACAAATATATAGTTATTTTCATTTTCATCACATACACAAAAATAATTATAAATATATTAGTTGTTTCATTTTCATCACATATTTCTTACACATCAAAATTCTTAAAACATAACTAAATTACAAATCGAACAAATGATAAATAATATCAAGTACTTGAAAAGAATTTTAAATAAACATAACAATCAAGTTATAAATTAATTTGTTAATGATTCTTGAACAAAAATTGAGACATATTCGTACAAAACACACGAGCCAAGTTGCACAAAGAGATTATAAAGAAGTTTGGGAGTGCATTTTACAACTGTTCAAAACATAGAGGGGTCAAAACAATATACTAGAAAAATTTTAGACTTTATAAGGCAATTCCTTATCTTTAATCATCTTCTCCAGGTTCACCATCACACAGGTTTCCAGCAGTCCTCTCCCTTCATCTCTTCTTTGTTTCTTTTTTAATGTTTTGATGATTTCCAATTTCTGTTAACGTTCTTCAAATAGGCATGACCTTTCTCTCTATCTTTATTTTCATTCTCTTTTAGTGCCTTCCTTTTTTTTTCTCGTTTTTTGTTTAGATCTATGGATCTTTAGAAAATAACAATGCATAGATTTATAGATCCATTTTCTCTCTTCTTTTCGTGCTATTTACTTGAAACTTTTCCCTTGTGATTCAAATATGTTATCAACTAATTGCTTAAGAGATGAAAGTATAGCTTTAGGGATGAAGAAATTGCTGGAAAAAATGATATTAGCAATGAAAAAAGATTTAGAAAAGAAGAAGAAGAAAACTCGAATTTTTTCCTGAGTTTTGGACTAGCAATTTTTCAAAATAACTCGAACCGGATGCCTGGTCAGTTCTCAATTCGATCGATCAGACTAGATGGTCCAATTTGAATTTTAAAAAATAGTGATTATCAAGAACACTAAAAACTATTGTATGTAAAAGGGATTAATAAGAGTAAAATACTAATTTAGTCCCTAAACTATTTTAATAAAGTCAAAATAGTCCCTAAACATTATTATGGATCAATTTAGTCTCTTAATTATTTTTACAAAGCCAAAATAGTCATTAAACTTTATTATGAGCTAATTTAGTCTCTCAAATAATTTACTTAAGCGAAAATAGTCCCTCAACTATATTTATGTGCTAGTTTTGTCCTCACTTTGCCAATCCACTAAATGTATGAACTTTCTACAACAAGATCAGGGACATGATAGGAAATCCATTCATTTTTCTTATTTAAACAATGCAAAAATAGATATTTGTTGGGAAACAGACAAGAAAATTGAATATTATAGAAAAAAAAAAAACATAAAGCTTCTTATGAAGGAAAAAAAGAAGAAGCACATACTCAAAATAAAAATTCACATGGAATCAATTTACTCCATTAAATGAAGAAAAGAAAAACACGACAAGAGTGTGTAAACAATTTGAAAGAAATATTAACACTAAGATTATCCTTTTAAGAAATAAAGTTGAAAAAGCTTGCTTTCTATATGATTAAATTTTGTTGCAAATTTTTCGATAAATATCTATTGTTTAATAAAGAATATAGGTCGATTGCCTATTTTGCCCTTGATTGTTGGAGCAAAAAGTTAATTAGGCAAATCAACCTAAAAAGAAACAAATTGACCGTGTAAATACAGTTAAGGGACTATTTTGATTTAAATAAAATAGTTGAGGGACTAATTTAGCTAATAATAAAGTTTAAAGACCATTTTAGCTCTGTTAAAATAGTTGATAGACCAAATTAGCTTGTAATAAAATTCAAGGACTATTTTGACTTTAACGAAATAGTTTAGGGACTAAATCAATGTTGTGCTCATAAGATTAATAATTATGTGTGCATTTTTTCACACAAGAGTGGAAAAGAAAATTTGCATTCTATGATTGGGCAAATTACAAAGCATGAAAGCATAATTTTACATCTTTGGGAAGAGCAGTAGTAGTCTAATAATAACTATTATGTATCCTATGAATATCTAGGGCTGAAAATTCCAACATTGGTTGAACATCTAGTTTCCAAAGTGGGATGGCTAAGAGGTTAGAGAGTCCTTGTGACGACCGCACCTCTTCCAAGGGCATAACTTAAGGTATCAGCGGGCCGCTTGCCCAACTCTTTCTAGGACTCGATAACAAACCATAGAATCAAACCCCAATACCCAACCTTATCACAAAATACGCTAAATAGAACTAATACATATGATTGTTTGCCAAAGCAACTTAAAATACAAAAAAAAAGATTTTAAACTTACAATTCCCATTCAAAACAAAATAGTACCCTAATCACTTAATCTAACTAAAAACAAAAGTTAAGTGCTAAATTTCCAAATCACGAACCAACTCTGCTAAGAAAAATAAAAGGAAAGGCATGAGCTTGCACCCAGTGAGGTTTAAGAAGGACATGCAATTTAAGAAAGCAAATAATCACATATTTAAGCCAACAAGAAATATAAATGAGAGATTTCATATGAGCACATCATTAAAATCAATATAACAATCATGAAGGATACTGAACACTGGCCAACACTTGATCAATCAGTAATTCAAGTAGTTAACACTCCGTCAACTTTCATGTCCATGTAGAATCACCACTTCACGCCGCTCTGTCCACCTTTCACCCCTTACCGGGCCCGCACGCCAATAAAATTTCAAGAATTGGTATTACTCGAGTATACCCAGGACAGGATGGATCCAACACATATACATTGCCCAAGGTTTGCTAATTGAGTTGACCAAACCCTTGTCGGCTCAACCTCGAATAACTAGCCGTTGGATTTTGGGGCCCCTACATATCAATAATATCATATCAAGTTCACTTATAGCAATAACAATTCAATAGAGTCAAGTGCGATAAAGTACACACTCGCCCGTTCATAAACAACTTCAAAAGAATGACAGTTCATAGTCATATCATTCTCAAACTCATTAACATATCAAACATTTATATAGTGCTACCATGCACTTAGAACACTCACCAAATAGCACTTAAGCGTCTACAGAAGGATCTCCTACGCGCTCAAATTGCACCCTAGCAAACAATTACAACATATAAGTGAACCCTTAGTGTTCACTAAATCAACTCACTTAAGTATGAAAACTTTGTTTTCAAATTAGTCGACTTTAGTGTCCTAGACACTTCAACCCATTTAGGTTTTAATATAGACAATTCAAGTGAAAATACAACTTTCCAATAGGGGAAAAGCATTTCAAAAGTTCAAACAAGACTTTCCACTTTTACAATTTTCTAGCAGGCAAATCATAGCAAAAGTTCACTTTTCAATTACTTTCATTCATAGCTTTTGTCCCAAAATCATCTTATACACAAGAATCACAGTTTAATAGGGTTTCTTGAACTAAATCGACCAAAATTTCCTGAAAACAAGGATCTATAGTCAAATCAATCTATAAAATTGTCAACTACTAAACTTTTGGACAAAATCTTACTTTTCCCCCTTTTTAACTTCAAAATTTGGATCCAAAATCATTATATATACCAAGATCAAGTTCCAATAGAACCTTTTGAGCTAAAATCCATCCAAAAACCGTTTTTAAAATAACAAAATTAATGTTGGAGTTTTAGCTCACAATTTCGGCCAATCTTAGGCCATTTTTCAGCTTTTTGTAACCTTGCTTGTCCCAACAAGATAACCCACAAAACCACTTCATTTTTCCACAATTTTTTGAACATACTTCAACCAACATACATAGAATCAAGTAGCATCAATTCTCCTAAAAAAATTTCTGATCAAGTGTACAAACAAGCCTCAAATTCAAGGAAAGAAAAGCTGAAAATTTTGCCCATGATAATTGGCCATCTAAACCAAAAATTTCAGCATACATACTCTTCAATTTTCACCAACAATAATCATAAATCATATTCAAATCCTCAAGGGTTTTATCAATCATTAACCCTAGGATATCAAGAGACAAAAATCCACCATAAATCACACTCAAATCCTGAAGGGCTTTATCAATCATTAACCCTAAGATATCAAGAGACAAGATTCCACCAATTTCTAGCCAAATATACCAAGATTTAAGTGAAATAAGATCATTGAAATATCTAATACTAAACTTCCATAAAACTTTCAAATACATCATAGATTTTTCATAAATAGCATAAATCCACCAAGATTTAGTCCAAAGTTGCTTGAAAAATAAACGAATGAAGTAGATTAGCCACTTACCTCTTCAAAGTTTCAAACCCTAGCAAGATCTACCCAAGATGATGGCAAGATCAACCCCTAAGAGCTTCTTTCTCCCAAAATCTTTCAAAGGTGCAAGTAGGTTGGTGGAAGAAAGCTTGGATCTTCAAAATTTTCAAGAAGAGTGAAGTTTTCTCTCTCTCTCCCTCTCTCAAGTTCGGCCAGCCAAGGAGAAGAAATGAAGGTCTCTTGGTTGTTTTTTGATCTAAAATACTAGTCACAAGAAAGGTTTCTCCAAGTCAACTTTGAATAGTGTCCAATAGTGTTGTGACGACCCCACCTCCCCCTAGGGCGTACCCTAGGGTTTAGCGAGTCGCCTACCCAACTCTCGCCAGAACTCACTCACTCGTATCTCAAGCATACATCCATAGA